AGCCCGGTCGGAAGCAACACCTAGTAATCTTAGTCACCCATGACTATAGTGACGTTTGGAATCACATCAAACTCATGCAGAGCACCATGTTTCTTTGGGCAGCCGGTTCACTTGCGACGCAGCGGAAGTAATGGTGGGTGGAGCCACTGTGACCATGCCTTCAGAAGAGCGAAAATTCTCCTGGGCAGGTGCTTGGCTTCTGGCTCTCTTGATCGTTGGACTTAGCGGTGCTGGGTACTTAGCTTTGGTTTCGCCCCTTTCCCGTTCTTCCGGTTGAAGCTTTTTGCTGTGCACTGCAGGTGTGGCCTTTCGTGAAGCTTGCGTTGCTGTTGCACGTGTGGCTGGCTCCGACTTCGAGGCACACACCAGAAACGGAATTTTTTGTGCTTCATTTCATCCAGCTGCTTGCGTTACGTCCATCATGCGAACCAACTTGCGACGAATTCTTGCGCTCGCCCATGTTTATCCTTTTGACAAACCCCTATCGAGATGGAACTGTGATATCCCGAACACCAAAAAGACCCGAGTCCTGCAACGTTTTGCTTGCCCGATGTAAGTCTTTGTACTACTCATAGCACCTCGCGATTCCTGATTACATGTGGGCTCTCAACTCTTCAGAAAAGCATGCCGGATAACCATCGTATCTGGTGTCTTAACTTCCTGACATGCGGCCTAGCCCTTGAAGTTGACAATAGACGTCTTGCCTTCGAGCCCATGCGCTGTCCTTGTACTTTTGTATTGCACCTTTGGGTCCTCTCAGTTCAGGTCAGGTCTTGTGGTCTTTTGTCAAGATGCAGGTGGGTTTAGTGAGGGGCGTGCCCTTGAATAGCGTGCCGCTTCTGGCTTAGGGGTGGTTTGGGTCTTGTTTCGGGTCAGGTTTAGGGCTGGTGGGGCAGTGTTTTCGTGCTTTTTTTTTGGTGGCAGTGTTTTGGTTTGGTGTTTTTGGCGTATTGGGAGCGTGGGTGAGTGACCGGATTTCACCTATTTTCATCCTTCAGAATCCAGCTGCGGCCCCGAACTAAGGCTCTGAAATTCAGGGATGGTTTGGGGCCAGTTTTAGTCGTAAGGTTAGGATTCGAATTGAGGTTTGGGATCATTAATAAGGATGGTTGCGGGTGGGTTCAGCTACTCCTACAGCTACTGCCAACTCCTCGTACTAACTACCACAGCCACTACTACCACTGCTACTCCTGCCCAATCAGGGCCAATTCTTTACAGTACGACAAGCATAAAGTATGGAAAAACAAAGACCCAACCTTTCCGAAGAGATGTAGTATCAACCACCTCCCTCCTCCCCCCACCTCTCAGGTCAGGAATCTCCAAAAGCTATAGAACAGTTCTCGATCAGTATCAAGCTGGTTGCTCATGTTAAGCTGGGAGCAATCAATTATTTGCGAAACCAGGTCACGACGCACCAAAGTGCTGTTGTTCTTGGATGAGTACGGGAAGCCCCTCGTTATGTCGTTTTGCCTTACCAACTTCCCAAAGAGCACATTAGCCTAGGTACAGCCTCGTCGACTCATGGCTCGCCATCCTTGCACTGTGTGCGTTTGACATCAAATGGTTCGGAGAGGAGCGTCGGAATCGTTCTGCAACATGGCAGCTTCCTGTGGATCGTGCAGTGACAGGAAGTTTCCGTGCAAGTGACCCCTGTGCCGATGCTTCCCTTCTTCACCTTCGTCATCGCAACGGTGTTGTCGCTGGTTCTCGGTCACATCGCGACAGAGTCGAACAGGCAATCCATCTGCCTCGATGCCATGTCATTCTGAGTTGAATTGCAAGAACGTGCCGGAGGCGAAGTCTGCAGGAAGCAGCTCCGCCGTTGCGGAGTAGTTCCCGAAATATCAGTGGAACTGTCAGCGAGTCGGAGCCCGTCCGCTATGGCCTTTGTTGTGAGCTCCCTCGAGGCACAGGAACTGTACAGCCACTTGATTGGTCTGGGCTTGTCATCTGTGCTTTGAGAAGCAATACAGATGGCTCCCGCAAGTTTCGGCATGCAGGCCGCGCAGTCCTTTTGCTGGCGCTGACCTTTCTTACTGGCATTTCCCTTATTGTTTCAGCTTTTCTGCAATCCTTGGAGTACAAGGCCGTGCTGCTGTCATCCTCAGCATACAACCCTATCTGCATGACCTTGTGCATTTCGTCAAATCGACATGGTGTACTGCTGAGACTTGCAGGTCTCTGGCGCGATTTCTGACCTGCTTCTGAAGGGTGAGGTGAGCTGCGTGTATACAAGTTTCGTGCGTTGTGAGGTTGCATGAAGTCTGAACGCAGCTTGACTTGCTGGTGCAAGCGCTGCATTTGATGAGCAGGAGAGAGATCTGAAGTACAGTCTCGTCGGCTTGGGCATGTTCTTAACCACGGGATTCCAAGAATCTGCAGCCGGATCGCATTGCGAGCGCAGGCAGAAACCTTGAGCTTTCGACACAAGGTAGACAGATACGTGATTAGCGATTGTCTCTGAGACTCTGACGCTGAGGGTGGTTTGCATGCAGTTCAAGCCATTTTCTTCACCTTCACACTGGACCGGCTCTCAGTTCCAAAAGTGTCCGCAAGTCTCCGGTCCGGTCGCCGTTCTCAGGCCATTCCATTGCTGCTGGTTTGTGCTATTCTGGCGCTTCTGCTGTACCCCATGACGAAAGCCGAGCATGGCCTGCTCTGGAAAGTCTGCCATGCCCTGGATGCTCCTCCGAAGCAGATTGGAGGATAAGCGGCAGCACCACGTCGTCGACACGAGGTAGATGCTGAAGATACGTCGACCACATGTGACTTGGCAGAGTTCCTGCCCCAGGCTTGGGCAGCTTTTGACGTCTTCGTCGTGGCTGTTACGGTGGCGAACTTCGAGTTCTGGATCTTCTCCAACTTCCTCATCTATCACGACAACATTGCTGCAGCATGCAGTTGGGTCACCTGCTGGCAAAGTTTTGCTGTCTGTGAAAGGGCGTGCCGGGAGCCTGCAAGAAGGTACACGACAACCTGGAGCTGGAATGCTTGGCAATGGAATGTCTCTTACCTACGGCAGCTGCTATATGAGTAAGCTTTGTACTTTGTGAGATGGCATGTAGTCACACAAGGTCACGTGCTTCCGGGGTTCGCAGTCCTGGCTGCAGCAGGCTAGAGCATGCAGCCCGAGTAAGCTTATCACATCTTGTCACTGTTTCGATCCACTGCTACCTTTCGAGGAATCGGGTCCTATGCCGTCCCGAAGATGGTGCTGTGCTCTTGTGAGGATCTCTTGGACCAGGCCAGTGTCCTAGTGGCTTGGAGGCTTGGCGCCCTGAAAACAGCGAAAGCCCAGAAATCGCAGGCCGAGGCCGAAGACAGTGAGGAAGGCAGCGAGTTGCTTTCAGATGTTAAAGAGGCCATGTGACCGACTCGGGCAGAAAAGAGGCACTTGCAGTCTTGCGAGTCTTGTGAGCGAACCGGGCCCTTCTCCTCGGAACGAACCCCGGCAGCCAACAAAAAACTGAGGTGCAGTTGTTTGCTGAGCCACCTCGCAGCTTTGCATTCGACGGTGTTCTGCGAGAGTCGGGCCCTTGCTTTCAGCTCTGCGGCCTGTCGCGAACCAGAAGACTTGCAGAAATAGTGGTGCGAGGTCCGCGACACAGACGGAGGTTTTTCAACTCTTTGGCGCTGGTGTGGCGGAATTTTGTCTCAGCGGGTCCAAGCCTGAACTCGAAGGGAAAAAGCCCTGCGGTCCAGTCGTTCAGAACGACCAGGTACAACGGCAGCATCTATGTGTACGGCCAAACGGGAAGTGGCAAGACCCACACGATGCAAGGAGAAGTCGTAGTGGCCTCGGGACACTCTTCTACGTGCTGTCGTGAGGAGTGCAAGGAAGCGGTCTGCATCTGTCTCGTTGCGCACAAACCAGGTGTCCGTGCAGTCTATGCACAATGGTGAGCAAAGGCCAGTGAGTTCTGCCCGCCAGTAGTGGCAGAGCGTTGCCATTGCATCTTCTTCATCAGCATGTGTCTTGAGGGGCTTGATGTGTCGCATCTTGGACTACATCTTCGCAGAGATAGGCGCAGAATTTGTACACTGTCCGGTTCTAGCATGCAATGTTGCCTTGCTTGGAGCAGGTCGGCGCAATCAGACAGGTGGGACGATTCAACATAGTTGCAAATGCTCGTGCCCTTCTTCTGACAGTGCCAAACGTCCATGCAAGTCTTCCAGTCGGCCGCGACCAGGTACCTCGAGATCTACAAGGCTTTGACGCTGGGATGATGCCATCGTAGCTCACTCAGTGAAGCAGAGTGCTGCAGGAGCAGATCACTGACCTGTTGGAGCCAAGCTCCACCAACCTACAGATCAGAGAGGACCTGTGATGTGTTCATACATGGCAAGCAAGTCCTGCTTGCAAACTCTTGTCCTGAGGACATCAACCATGGCGTGTATGTGGAGAGGCTGAGTGAACACTCGGTGTGGTCTGCATCGGATGCATTCCACGTCGTCTGGAAGGCAGCCCATGTCTTTCCATCGCTTTTTGTCCATGCGACGTGCTACCTAGATGATAAGATCCAGACCCCTCATCAAATGAGTCCTCGGGAGCAGCAAACCCCGCCGCTTCAATGTACCCAGCTGTGCGGTGACATGATGGTGGTGTCGACGTGTGCAGATCTGAAGCAAGTTTATGAGCTGATAATCGCTTCCCCCTTTAATAAACACCCCCGTTAACAATAAACACACATTGGGGAGAATCCTCCCGAAATCATCCCTGCCCTTTCAAACCTATTCTAAATTAGGGGGAGGGTTTCGAAGCTCCAAATAGCCGTAGAGCACAGCAAGAGCAAGAGAAAGAGCAAAAGCAGAGTCAGAGCAGGAGTTAGAGCAAGAGCAGGAGCAAGAGCAAAAGCGGCATCAGCAAGAGCAGCAGCAACAGCAAAGCAAAAGCAGGAGCGGGAGTAAGAGCAAGAGCAGGAGCACCAGCGGGAGCAACAGCAAGAGCGGGAGCAGGCGCAAGAGACGCAGCAGAAGCAGAAGCAAAAACCAGAGCGGGAGCAAGAGCCAGAGCAAAAGC